CGTATATACATGTACACACATATACACACACACTCACCTATGTGCATATATACAGTATATATATATATACATACACACATACATATACATACATATGCATTAAGGAAAAGAAAATTCTGTACGTTATTGTTTGTTCATGTGAAAGTATGTCCTGGATTTAGAGTATTCGGTCCAGTTTTGTTTTCTGAAGAAAGCGGATGAAGGAGGTCGTTGATTTGACCCTTTCCGATGCTGAGTCCCATGGTCTGAGCAGGTGAGTCAGAAAAAAAGCTTCTCCGTTGGGAAGATGGAGAGAGTTTGCCAGTTCATTTCGTTGACTTGTGTATAGGCTACACTGGCACAGGACATGTTCGAGTGTGTCTGTGACGGCACAGTTCTCACAGAGAGGAGAGTCTAGCTGGCCGATGAGGTTCAGATAAAATCCCGTTGAAGCTACGTTGAGTCGTATACGGTGGAGCGTAGTTTCAGTCCGGCGTTTAAGGCCGCGGTGTGAACGAAAGACAAGGAAAGGGTCAATGCTGTGTAGATGTCTGTAAAAATAAAGCGGATTTGCCCAGAGGGAACTTATCATAGTTTTAACAACACAGCTGATTCTGGCCCTAGCATCTGTTCATGCCAAATGGGATTTTTAAAGCACAGAAGTGATGAAAGCTATACTCCTTCTCACAGGCATTTGCAGTGCAGGCAAAAACATGGGCACGAGCGCGTGACTTTGGAAAGTGCCTTCTATGCACGAGTTCTCCTACAAACAAATGCATTCTGGAGAGCTAGGCTCACGCACCTCTGCCTTTGCCTTTACTGCAGACATCTGTGAGATGTTGTATTAGGGAGTATTCACTGCCGACCATAGCTGAGCTCGCTGCTGTTTTCTTACCACCGGGGAAGAGAGAGAGGAGAAAAACGCTTTTGTACGAATTTTGAGTGGCAAGTTAATCTTCTATAATCTTCTAGAGGGAGAATAGCGACATCTGGGGAAGCCTGAGACATACAAAGGAGAGTCCCGGTGATAAGGGAATTTCTCTTTCCCCTCTTCTCTTGCGGCTGCCCGTGAGCTGACGGGAAACTTTTCCCGGGCATGCGCTGTGAGCAGTTACCTCAAATATGGCGTCCAGTGAATACCCCTTATAATCACTAAAAATTTAAAATTTCATCCTAGTTACATTACCTTAGCTTAGCGCCTTCGGGACAAGGGAAGGATTTAGAGAAGTGACACGAAGGGACACAATACGGTCATATTACTTTGTGATGGTATGCTTGCGCACACTAGCCACCAAATGCGAACATGTTATAGTTATTGTGGCAGATATTGGAAACCATCATAATGGACAGTGTTGACTGTATCTCGTTAAACAACAACGAAAAAACAAAGTCCACATGAAAATATTTTTTTTTCTAAAATGCTGCATGCTATTCCGTTGTTAAATGTGAGAAGTGAGCACTAGGTTTATCTATTTATTTACTTATTTATTTTTATTTGCTTACAATATAGCCTATAGGCGATTGCATGTTCAGGTAGTGTGTATCAACAATAATAATAATAATAATAGAATTTATTGTCGTGCCGCTAACAAAAGCAATGGCACGTCTCCTTTAATTTCGCTATTAATAAAGGGACAGTATGCAACCAACAATGGTCCCACACGTTTTTCGGTGTTACTTTTCTTTGTGCTTCATAAAGACAAGTTTCATACATTCGTTCATTATTTTTATGTACGCGAAATCGTAGGAGCAAATTGAGCTAAAAGTTTGTGATAACGAAATAAATAGGACAAAAAAACTTGTATGTCTTTTATAGATTACGTTTCTAAAATGTTAATTGTCGATACTGCGCAGTGTGTTATTAGGATCAAAGGTGACCGTGCCTTCTGTGATCTGAAAAAGTGAAAGCCGCTTACAACTCCCTGTAACGCCGAATTGGAGCGCAGCTCTTGAGGAGGAGGAGGGAAGGGTGCTGGGGGGGGGGTTAGACTAACCAGGGGGGGGGGGTCACGTGACCCCCAATGCCGATGATGTCATCAGTGACGATGACGATGCGGGTACCGATGACGTCATTAGTGACGCCACTGATGACTTCACCAGTGATGATGACGATGACGATGCGAATGTCGGTGACGTCATCAGTGACGTCGCTGACGACGTCATCAGTGATGATGACGATGACGACGCGGATGCCGGTGACGACATCAGTGACGTCACTGATGACGTCATCAGTGATGATGACGATGACGATGCGGATGTCGGTAACGTCACCGGCATCCACATCGTCATCGTCACTGATGACGTCACCGGCATCCACATCGTCATCGTCATCATCACTGATGACGTCACCGGCATCCACATCGTCATCGTCATCATCGCTTATGACGTCACCGGCATCCGCATCGTCATCGTCATCATCACTGATGACGTCATCATCACTGATGACGTCACCGGCATCCACATCGTCATCGTCATCATCACTGATGACGTCACCGGCATCCACATCGTCATCGTCATCATCACTGATGACGTCACCGGCATCCACATCGTCATCATCACTGATGACGTCACCGGCATCCGCATCGTCATCGTCATCATCACTGATGACGTCATCATCACTGATGACGTCACCGGCATCCACATCGTCATCGTCATCATCACTGATGACGTCACCGGCATCCACATTGTCATCGTCATCATCACTGATGACGTCACCGGCATCCACATCGTCATCGTCATCATCACTGATGACGTCACCGGCATCCGCATCGTCATCGTCATCATCACTGATGATGACGTCATCAGTGATGATGACGAGACGATGTGGATGCCGGTGACGTCATCAGTGTCGATGACGTCATCGGGGGGTCACGCGACATCGGCGGGGGTCACGTGACCTCGGGGGTCACGTGACCTCGAGGAGGGGGTCACGTGACCTCGAGGAGGGGGTCACGTGACCTGAGGGGAGTCACGTGACCTCGAGAAGGGGGCCACGTGACCTCAGGGGAGTCACGTGACTTCGGGGGGTCACGTGACCTCGGGGGGAGGTCACGTGCCCCCACGAAGTCACGTGACCCCGGTGGGGGGCTCGCGCGGTGCATCATGGGACATTTCCCATGATGCACCGCGCAATTACGCCGACGCCGACGCCGACGCCGACGCCAACGCCGACGCCGACGGCGACGGCGACGCCGACGCCGCTCAAGCCGGAAACGGGCCCCTAAGAGCTGCGCTCTAAAAAGCGGTCTGTGCATAAACCTCGCGTGTTCGATGTCTGCCTGTCGCAATGAGAGTAACGAAATGGCAACCGTACTATGTCATTCTTGAAACAGTCCGAGTGGTGAGCGGTTCCTTTGTTGTTCGAGTAAACAATGGTAGACACAATTCCTACACAAAAGGAATGCCAACAGTGCCCACAATGAGGTTGATGGAAAACGTTCAGTGTTGAATATTGGGCAGCTGCAGGTTTGGTGCAACTTTGCCGTAGAAATAAGTTTTTCTTTTTTCTCGTAATTTTCTGCAAATAGATTTTGACCTATAATGCAGATGTACTGTAACGTATATTTGTTATGACTGTCTGCTTTTTTTGTGGGTATGCTACATTTGTGTTATACATAATTCAGTTGTCGTGTTTAATAGACTTCTCCTTTTTATGTCAAAGGTAACTTCGGTACATTTCACTCAACCAGCCCACGCTGGCACGTGCTTCTCTGTCTGCCCGCAAAAGCGCTTAGATGCTACACGTTTCCTCCTTCCAAAGCGGGGTTTGTAGTATGCTCGCTCAATTTTACAGTCTATTCACTTTTATTTAGCGGAGGACACTTATTATTCTTACTTCTACAATAAAAAAAAAATAAGTAAAGCTTGCTTAGGAAAGGGGGTTATCTCGTTGAAAGATGTGGAAAGTTTCGGGCTGACGCCTTCACGTTTAAGAACTCAAAAAGGGGATGTAAAATGATAATGAACAAATAAAGTAAATTACATATCTTCTGGTAGAAGAAGTACCACACTATAAGGCGTCTTAATGCTCTCTCTAAGATACATTGTAGCCCTGGTGAGCACTTTAGGGCAGTTCTGAGAATGGCGCAGCAGTCACGTCATTGCATCAAAACAAAAAGTTAGATAGGCAGTTTAGCCAGTTCAGGATACGCCAGCTCGTCTAGGATCTATAACGTGCATTACAAAGTAGTGATCACACAACTGCTCGCGGTATGAAGGTAATTAATATCGAAACAAGCGGGGAAGCCCAGGATTCCTCGGTTCTGCGCCACTATAGTTTTCGCTGTGCGTGTTTCAAGATGCGGTGCGCTAACATATTCGGCCACCGATCACCCAGGAATCGGTGACCGAATATTATGCCTTTTGTCGAACATGTCCGGAGCTATTATCACATGCCATACATATAGTTCCAGCTTTTTCTCTGCTGTACTTAAATAATAGTTTAATATTTGAGTTGCGGTTTGTATGGTCTTGAGCGTTTTTATATTTTGTGTCCACGAGTGTAAAGTATTTTTTAATTTTTCATATGGAGGCATAACAAAATTCAGATATATACTACTAATTGGGATAGAACGATAAAAAGGCGTTAAGGAGGAAAGGTGATGCATTTCTAAAAAAAATTACAAGTGTGAAAATGTTGTTTCAAAGGCTGCTGCATTAATATTTTTCCGTCCAGTGGTTGCGTAGCCAAGCTAACCAACATAAGTTGCTTCGGGACGTTTATTACATATTGTGCCCCAAAAAACAAGGCACGTAAACCTCTTCAGAAGAATTAGTTTTTGTATGTGTCTTCCAAAGCTGCCGTACCGTCGAAAGTAGAGTGGCTTCTCTCTCTCTCTCTCTCTCTCGCTCTCTCTCTCTCTCTCTCTCTATATATATATATATATATATATTGTTTACGACTTGTTGCGATAATAATGCAATTAAATGCAAAGGTGCAAGCGAGTTGCGATAGATGTCGTCGGGGTGCTGCTTCGAGAGAATTTCTGTCTGGCTATCTTGACACTGGGCAAAGTTCTTTTGCGAGATTGTGGTGATAACGACGTGAACCTAAAAGCGATCTCTCTCTAGAATTAGTCGCCTCTTGCAACCGGCGGGATATCGCCACCATAGATAGCCATGGACAAACTTTTTCTCACCGACACCTTCAGAAACCTTCTCCGGTTTGGCAAAATCCAGACGGACAACAACATCTTCCGCCTCCATTACCGATTCACTGGCGTGTTCCTGTTCGCCTCCAGCGTCCTGGTGAGTGCCACGCAGTTCTTCGGCAATCCGATCTACTGCATCACGCACGATGCCGTTCCGGAGTACGTTATGAACACGTACTGCTGGGTGGAAGGCACCATCACGCTCTCAAGATCACTGAACGCGACCGTCGGCTCGCAAGTAGCGGCTCCCGGAGTGGACCAGATGAGGATCAGAGACACGGACCACGTCATCGAGCACGCCTACTACCAGTGGGTCTGCTTCGTCCTCTTTCTGCAAGCGATCATGTTCTACTTTCCTCGCTGGCTGTGGAGGTCGTGGGAGAACGGAAGGATACGATCCTTGCTGCTGGAGCTGAACAAGCCCATCCTCGAGGATGACAAGAAAAACGCGCAAGTCAATGCCGTCGTTCGGTACTTCCTCAGGCACAAGAGCCAGCACCAGAGCTATGCCATCAGGTTCTTTATTTGCGAAGTGCTCAACTTTGTCAACGTCATCGGACAGATGTATTTTCTCGACAAGTTCCTGGGTGGCATGTTTACGACCTACGGTACACAGGTCATCCAGTTCATGAACGACGATCCCGAAGTTCGTGTCGATCCTATGACCAAGATTTTCCCAAAGATAACCAAGTGCCGCTTCCACCGCTATGGTACCTCCGGGGACGTTCAAAAGCATGACTCCATCTGCCTTTTACCGTTAAACATAATCAACGAGAAGATTTACATATTTCTGTGGTTCTGGATGATCTTCCTAGCCGTCGTCACGGGTCTGACACTTCTGTACCGTATTCTTGTGTGCGGTTTTCCGAGGTACAGGTACATGCTGTTAAGAACCTTGAGCAAAATGGTAGACCCAAAGTACATGGACCAGATCGTAAGGAAGGCCAGCTACGGAGATTGGTTTGTACTCTACCTTCTCAAAGACAACATACAGGGCATTTATTTCAAGGAGATAGTCGAGACGTTGTCTACGCGACTAAAAGAATATCCTGAGCCGGATCACATGGACAGTGCTCTTGAAACAAAAGCATGAATACTTTGCTTCGCATGAAAAAAAAAAATACCAAGAATATAAAATACATTTATTATCAAGCTACGGTTATCATTTATATTTCTTGAATCGATCAAGAGTGTACCGTCGCGGTCAATGTGAGCTGCAATGCAACAGTTCTACATGCTTGGCGTGCCTGACAGTTTTAGAAGAAGCATTGCTCCAGACAGAAGAGTTTAGGTGGCATTGTTTGATGTATTTGACAATTCGAAAGATTCCTGAGCTTGAAGAGACCGCCGCAGGTTTAGCCAAAAACCGGATCGAGTACGAGTTGCTGTTCATAATATACGTTGACCGCAATATTTTTTGCACAATAGTGGCTTAATTTTTTTTTTTCGGTTTTGGATCGTGGTAGCTTGGAGAATAGGAACCAAATAAAATGGCTTTCAATAAATAAGCTGATTTTAGCTGTAATAGTTTTATTGATATTATTTCCGCACCCAATTCTTGTTTTTTTTTTCTCTCATATCATCTTTATTTTTTGTCGATCAGCTAGCTCGCAGTTCGCATTTTTTTTTCATGCTTAAATTTTGGCACCATCATGTTTTTATTTAGTTTTACCTCAAGCTGATTTGCATATCCTTATACTATGGTTGTACACGTCTCCAGTTTAATGGAGGCAGTTTTTATTTGAATCAATAAATATGTAAAGTTATAATACTGTAACCGTAGACGAGTGTTCTTATTGATGTTTTAGAAGGAGGTATGGAACCATCTTGAGCGATCGGAGCTGTTTTGGGTATCCATGAGTTATCCACGTATGCGCGGTCCCAGTGGCGCAGAGGAGCATATATGTTCTGATAAACACCGAAGCTTATATTTTATTATTTGTTTACTAATTAACTGGCATCGTAGGATTTTGCTTTTTTTTTTTTATTGTAGACATTTTACAGCATCCGGCGTCGGACAATAAACTGGGAAATAGACAGTATTTGGTGGTGGTGTACGATGGTGTATCTGTCGCTCTAAGGAAGATCGATCAGAAAGACAACTGAGCTGCACGCACATAGTGTGTTTTCTTTTTAAGGTTTTAAGTGTGCATCTGATATTACAGACGTGTAGCCGATTCGGTGAATATTTTTGAAAGATCAAATCTAACACTTTGTTCCTACGCAGCGGCCCGCACTAACTTCCAAAACAGGGTTCTCTGCTAAAACCTTTGAAGTTACACGTGGAAAGTGAAGTAAAATTGTTTCATAGCCACTACGCGTCATTTGCGGCTATAGGAACATTGAATCAACCGATCCCGTATTATATAAGAAACCACGATAATCAACAACTATAAGATACCGCGAACTCTTTTCGACCCTGAGGTTCGAAGATCGAAACAAGGGGTTCGAAAGGTTCGAAAACATTTCGAATGTCGAACTGAATACATAAACAATTCGCCGATTTTCAAACTTTCCATTTTTGGCGCTAAAAAATTTGATTTTTTTCGGACTTTCCAATTTTTCGCGCTATGGAATTTGACAGTTTTATAACTTTCGAACATATAGGCTTAGAAATTAGACAATTTTCGAACTTTTGAGCCTAAGTTCAAACGGCCGAGAAACATCGAACTTCTGAACAAAAGTTGGACGAAGTTCGAACCAAGTTCACCCCTATAGGCTCAAGGCAACTTATATAAATAACAGGCAACGTCAATGTGTGAAGTGGAGCGGAAATTGCAGTTTTACTTGGCCGATCGTGCCACAAAATGGTCCCTTTGGGGTGGCCTCGGCTTCGTACTTCGCACCCTTTTCTTCCGACTTCCGCACAGAGCCTCTCCCACTGACAGCTCCGTAGGTTTCTTCGATGTAACCAGCGGGCCCACTGATTCATGATCTGCAGGCTCAAAATTCAACCGAGGCGCTTCGCTGGGGGCGTCGTTCATAGTGTTTTTTTAACCAGTTTCCTCAAATGCGGCTGTTGAAAGTAGAGTAACTGTATATGACTCCGCTTGCTTGTATATGCTAGAGTAACTTTATAGGCTCTGCAAGCAGAGCCTTTACAGTTACTCTAGTTGAAAGGGGCGCGCGCCGAGCGCGATGCCGATGGTGCTACAGCGAGCGCTGGGTCGGCGCTTTCTTCATATCATTAGTAACCACCTGGTGACTAATAAAGAAGAAACGTCCCAGCCCGATGACGACCGTCGTGACCTGATAAGCTGTATTGTTCTCTTACATTTTTTTTTTTTTTGGGGGGGGGGGGGGGGTTAATTTAGTCATTGCGTTCTAGTGAACCTTGACTTGTGTCGGGCGCATGTGACTGTGTCCAGAGTTTTTTTTTTTTTTTTTTTTTCACTTCATGGGTCATCTTGCCAAACATAAACGCTCAGAGCAACTAAACAATGTCGGGAAGCCTGGATGTCTCTGTGTTCCTGTGTTATCCCGTATATTTAGTTATCTTATGGCGGAATCGCTTTTAGGCGACGTTAGATCGGATTGCTACTAGTTTGCAAAGACGTAAGAAGTACGGTCACCTGATCGACTCAGGGCTTTCCGATGAACCGTTCAACCAGTTCAACGCTTGTTTTATAAGCTGGGACAAATAACGAGCAATACAAGTAGTACCGTGTGTATAGAACTGAGAAGGAAGAAGTATATTTACGGCATATAAGAAAGCAGTAACGCTTTCAATGAGATTTGTAGCACATATTTCTCGATTGTTTTTAGATCAATCCATAAAAACTGATTTTGAAACTGTGGAATTTGATCTCTGCCCACGAAATTCAGACATCAATCTTAAAATAAAAAAGTACAAAATTTTTTAACCTGTATCTTCAAACTTTTCAGACTCAAAGATTTAAAAAACAAAAATTGGAATGTTAAAAATTTTTGAACATTTGTAAAAAAAAAAAAAAAAAAATAAAAAAAAAAGTTCAATATTCTTGAGCTTAAATTTTTAGAAACCTTGACACTTTCGATTTTTTTTTCGATCTCGAACCTTAACGGGGTTCTAAAGTTGCGAACTTCCAAATTCGAACCTCTGCGAGGTTTGAAAATTTCGCAACCTTTTTCGACCTCGAACCTCAGGAGGTTCGCGGCACCTCTACCAACAACCGAGAGGAAATAAGGAGGCGAAAATGCGTTTGGTTCGTTCTAGCAATCTGTGCATTTTTTTTCTAACACTTTGTATTTCAGAGAACTGGCTACTAAAGAACGCTCTCTTGCAGAGCCCTTTACTTTTTTATAGCTTTAGGACTCACTGCAAGTAGTTGACTGCAGTCTTCACTGCTTGGGACCCTAGGGTAGAGCTCCCGCTTACCTGACAACCACGAATACAAACTTCTCTAAAAGAGAACAGTTCGTACAAAGAAGGGAATAGTTTCGCCAAAAACTCTTCAAGCCTGATTCAATTAAAACAATAATTTATGATTCGAGTGATCAAAAAAGGACATAAGAGAGTTCATATGATCGGAACATGTGCTTAGCCACGAGCTTTCGATAAAAGGTCAAATCATCAAAATAACCTTTTTTTTTAACCTTTATGCGGCATTTAGCGTTCAATGCCTGTGGCACTTCCGCTATTCACAGGTGCCCCAAAGTTGAGTAGATAATTTGGCAACTTTCATGGCGAGGCGTGAGGTTGGGACCCGTCCAAGCACAGGTCAAACAACCAATGGCGAGCGCCCCAACTAGGCAGTAAGACCGTCTTTTCGTATGCAATGATTTCTGCTGCGGGGAGAGGTTGTTACGGTGGAGGCCGTCTCAGACTGGGTCAGAGCACAATGGACGCACAAAGTGAACCCGCCGCCGTTGACACAACCGAACTGGTCAAACTGGTATACTTGGTGGTGGTGGGCCGCAGAAGACGATCGAAGCTGACCTTCGGGTAACCACTCGCCGGCGCTACGCTGGCGATCTGAAGAGGGCGGCACCAACACATCCCCACGGAAGAGCTTTGGAATTGCCTTTGCTGGCTTCTTTGTTGCGCCCGTTAATCATAATGACGGTTTGGGCACGACGGACGCCTCCCCGCCTCCCCTTGCTTCAGAACATTCGACTACTTCAAGGCCGGTAGTTGAGGGGCTTCGGCCTATAGATTACCATTGTCTCCACTGCCCACGAGGGATGAGTCCATGTTCGCATAAAGGGGGATGGAGGGAGGTCTACGCAAGACGGCATCATAACACTTAATTTGTTTTCGAGATGCGTGCGCGGATGACGAAGTAATGTATCTTTTCCTTCGAGGCTGCTTGGAGCTCTTGAAGCCAGTGTCATTAATCTCAGTTTCGCCCAGATTATCGAGATTGTGGATGGGAAAGAAGGAAGAGGAGAGTGAGTTAGAGAGAGAAGGGGAGCTGGGGCCTGGTGTTATGAGCGCGCGCCGCCAGGTGTGTTGAACGCGCATGACAAGGTCAGTTTTGTTTTTGCTGTGCTGGCTTCTATGCCTCTCTTTACTTCTCGTGGGTAATTTTTTTCGCTTTTTATTTCCCCGTAAACTTGTACGTGAGGCAGGTAATCTGCATTTTCATTAGACAAAGATAGGCTGTTTTGTTGTATCGTTGCCAAGTTCCGCGCGGGCTTAGAGGTGCGTGCAGCAGCTCGTTTGGGATTCGTGTCAGCGGCATTCCACACTTTTATTTTTGTTAATAATGTAAGGTATGAGGGGTTGAATTTTTTAAGACACGAATGACCGGAGAACGCGCGCGATGCTGCTGCCACGGTCTCTCATTAAGTGAGCACGTAAACACAAAGACGAAACGTAAGGTCTATTTTGATTGTTTATATTTGTTTTTTGTAACGTGGCTGACATCGAAATAGACGTGTTCAAAGAAGATTCAGTAGTGACTTGTTGAATATTTATAATATTAACCACCTTCCAAAATATTACCTACCCAAGTACAGCGTCCTTCGGTTAATCTTGATACAAAAAAAAGATTTTTTTTTTTTTTACAAAATTGTAGCGCCTTAATAACAACTCATTTCGTGTGCGTCGACAACGTCTACAAAACTGTTAAGAAAAGTACTTTGTTAATCAACTTGGGTATCTGACATTTCAACGTTCTGCTCACATTTATTTTCGTATTAATTATTCTCTATAAATTCGCACCCTGATATCTAGTTTCAAAAGATCGATATGCATATTAATGGAGAAACGAAAGTGGAAGAGATAATTTTATAAGCATTATTGATATTCAGTTCATTCCTCTTGCGTGAAGTTTGGAAGATGTATTTGCGTTCTATTTGGGGAACATACGAAATGTTCATATAACTTATTTAAATTCATCCTAATGTAAGATTCCTTAACTTATTAAATATAAATAAATTATGCACATAAAAACTACGTCTAGCTTTTTTTGCTACTATCCGAATTTTTAATTTAGTTATCGCTTAACAAGTCTGCTCAGCAGCTCATCAGTTACTGAGCAGAATTCTCGATCCTTGACGGGAACCATTTTCTTCCCGATAGCGCTATATCTAGTGCAACGTGCGCTACATATAGTACAGCACAGGAAACTATAACTATCAGAATACATCATTTTCCAGGTGGAAGACAGGTCAGTGCAATAAAGCGATCAAAAATCACGTATTGGAGCGTGTTCGCCAGAGTAAAAGCTCGTGCTTCAGGCTCAGACATCCCTGCCGATATCAGTATAAGCGTTCGCTGACGACGATATCAGACTTGTTTTACGACCTCCGCACAGGCTCCATGTCTTGCGTTGAGCCATAGCCTCCTATATA